AGAGAGAGAGAGAGAGAGAGAGAGAGAGAGAGAGTCTCTCTCTCTCTCTCTCTCTCTCTCTCTCTCTCTCTCTCTCTCTCTCTCTCTCTCTCTCGATCCGCGCATGTCCTCTCGAAGTCATCTCGAGAATTTCCATCGGGAACGTTTAAGATTTGTATACTATCTGGAAATATTTGCCGAGCGTAATCGTCGACGCAGCGAAATCCCGCTTCATTTCCATGCCCGGGAGTCCTCGGTGAGTCGTTATGTAAAACTTTTACTTCCTAAAACGTGCAAAAATGGACCGGGGACATACCGCGCTCGGAGGAAACCTGTGATCTGCCGCGATCGTTTTTCTATGAATTATCAAGTGAATCGGAAGGAAGGCGAGTCGACGACGGACAATATTTGTTAACAGGTTCGCTGGCAAGATAGTTGTTTTGGCCAACTACCCTGCAAAGATTACCTCGTATTTCACTTTTATTTATTTATTTATTTACGGTAGATGTTTATTATAAATAAACAGATAAAAATAAAAAGAGATATAATTAATAAATAAAGGTAAAGTACTAATAGCAAATAGGAAAAAAAACCTCAGAATTCTTTAATAAGTGAGTGACACTCTAATCAATCTAAATTGACTTAGTTTATTCTAGTATTTCTCCTTTTGTTCAGAGATTTGCGTAAAATAGATTTAGTTCAGTAATGTGTGGACAAAGAAAAAAAATATAATAATAAAAATAAATAAAAATAAAGTAGCAAAAAGGAAAAGAAATCTCACAGTGCTCTTTAACAATTGAGTAATATTAATTAACTTAAGTTAATTTACTTTAGTATTTCTCTTCTTTTTCATATTTGCGTAAAGCAGACTTAGCTGGGTAATGTGGACATAGAAACAATATTTTCGCTGTCACACATATATGACGCTGGTCTCTCGTAAAAGATCATTTCGTCATACACGCAGCATATACACGCACATGTGACGCCGGTAAGGACACATCGCCTAAAATATTTCGGAACGCCTCGACACGAACGCGCGTACGTAGGTGGAACATATATGCGGGTGTCAATGACATTAATTGTTTTGCGAAAAATTTTTTTGCCTTTTCTTGCCACCCCGCGCCGTCGTCGTGCGTGCTTCTGGCGCAATAACTCTATCCATATATAGCGCGCGCGCGAATGCACGTGCGACTGCCAGCTAAACCAATTACAACGCTAATTAGTTTCTTTACAGACGACCGTTTCGCGTTTTAATTAAAGTTCACGATGCGACGGGAGTTTGCGGGCGCGGGATGTATCGGTGTCGTTGACGGTTTTAACAAAGTAATCGTCAGTGTACGTGGACTGTCGCGTATTGATTTCCCCTGAGACGGGGAAATCAATACGCTAAAATTGGACCATCACAAATGTTAATCAATTTAAAATCATAAACCCACGAAAATGATTACTCAAACAGAATACCGAACACCGAGCACTACTCTACGGAAGTACGCGCGCGCACGAACACGAGTGTCATAAATGAAAAAAAAAGAGAAAGAAAAAGATACGTTCCTATAATTGGGTCGCCGAGAGCGAGAGGGTTAAAAAACGATGATGAGGACGGCAGACGTGTAACCGTCGGCGTTTCCCATTCTCTCCGTTTGTATGCGATTGTTATTGCCGGCGAACATATGCTGGAATCGACCGAAAAGGCGGAGAAAAAAGGAAGCAAACGACAGAACAGAGCCGCGAGAGAAGGAGAGAAAAACGTAGAGTAACACCGTGGCGTCACCGGCCAGAAACAGAACGCTTCCAAATGCGGAGGAAGAGGGAAGATCGCGAAACGACGGAAGGAATTACGGGCGGACTGACACCCACGATGGCCGCCCGCACTACAGAGAGCGAAGAGTCTCTGTTACGCAGCAGACACGGTGCGAATCCGTCATGTTTCGCAATCTGTTGGCCGGCATCGATGTGCGACACACCGTGCGATATGACACGAGACGCTGATAACGCCGCTTCTCGCTCGTCTGAGGATGTCTCGCACTCCTTTGCTCGCTCCTTTGGTTTCAAGTAATGAGTATCGTTACGGGCCTGCATTGCAAGTCCAAGTGTGTTATTCTTAAACGCGTATCATTCGGTCGAAGAGCTCTTTCTACACCTTTTACACCTGCAGTTTTAAATCACGTCATTTTACACGTTTAAGGCGTGTAAATTTAAGGAATTTAAGACATTTAAATGGCATGACTTGAAACGGTAAGAAACGTGCAAAAAGGGACTCAGCCGAAATGGCACGCTTGGATTTGCAGTATAAGGTCCGTATAAATAATTGTTACTTGAAACTTATCCCGCGTGAGATACTTAGATCTGTATTAATAGCCGTCATTTGAAACTTACCTCAAGTGTAAGATATTCAGGTTTTAACTTAGAATTAGATAGAAATTTTTCAGCTGAATTCATCGCGATGAATATAATATCGCATATATTATGCGATTTGAATAAAAAACTTAAATCTAACTCTAAATTTATATTTGAGTACCTCACGTGTTTCTTGCGATTTGAATTACATTATTTAACACGTTTAAAACGTATAAATTAGAATTTATATTTATAGACGTGCTAAATAATACATGATCTGAAACATGTAAAAAGAGATTTAGTCGAATAACACACTTGGATTTGCAGTGTAATCGCGATTCGATCGAATAACTCTCATCTAATTCTGGATTTTAATCTGAGTATCGAACTTGAAACGAGTTTCACAATAACTGCTCTAATACAGGCCTTAAATCCGTATTCATAGTCAGGTTTGAATTTTTTATTTGTATAGCACACACATATGCGACATTGCACTTGTAATTTCGCTTTAACTGAAAAACTCACATCTAACTTTGAATTAAAATCCGAGTGTGAGGCAAGTTTCAAGTGACGACTATTAATAAAGATCTAAGAGGCTCGGACGAAGTGCGCTTCGTGCTCCTTGCAGATTCAGGCCGCATCGCGCAATCTTCCTGTCGATTTTTCCACTCAAAGTTGATAATAAGAATTAACACTTAATTGAAAGTTACGACTCGAAAAGAAATCTGGAACACATGTGCTAATTTATACTTTAAACTATGTCGCGTTATATATGTGTGTTTTTCCGTCGAAATAGTCGTTTCCTCTATTTTTTTCTCTTATTCACTCTCAATCAATCGTTTCTAAGCTGTCAATACGGAACTCATCACCGATCCGAAATCCCGAGAGAGAATCGTACATTCGACAAGCCATCAGCGTCACGAAAAAGCGACATTTGCGCAATTTTTATAATGCATCACTTTCATTAAATAAATGTATTCCACGTACTTTCTCTCCGGCATAGTGAAAATCAAAAACTTTCAGATAGATTTAGTTCATTAATAAACATTACTCCCGGTGTGAATTTTCATTTGTAATTTCATCATAATTAATATTATTCGCGCGATCATGCGGTTGACTATTTTTGCGCGAAAGGCAACTTTTTAATCCGCGGTAATTAAAAAAATATTTACGAGGACCGCGCGAATATTTTTGCCTGACAAACGCGCTCTGTCCTCCGCGTAATGTCCTGCGCGAATTGTAACGCGCGCGTAGGAGTAAAAGTTGCGAAACGGTTGAGCAAAACCGATTTTATGAATAACGGCTGTGGAAATGTGCGGCTGGGGTATGCACGTGTGTGCGTGAGTTTGTTCGTTAGAATAATAAAATTAAATCGCGGCAAAAACGTACTATCGTCGGATTGTCGTGCGACGCGGAGTGCGCGATTTAGCGTCGCGATTACCGGAATGTCACGAATAAATAAAACATCACAGGTGTGCGTGTTGGTGACGATGACAATGGCGCTGGTGCTTTCGTACAAACGCGACCGCGCCGGCACATCTCGCGCTTATTAATCGCGCGAGGGCGCAAATTATTCATTCGCGTGCGGACTGCGAAATAGGACGGCGCGTCAATCTTCGCGACTGAAACGTGGAGTTAAATCCTCCGTATCGCAATTAGTTTGGCAGCTTACATGTGCACACATATCTCTCGTGTAATTACTTAAATATCCACTTGACTTTATTGATTAATCGCGATAAATACACTGCACAAAATGTGTCAGATACAAATAGACCGCTTAAAGAAGACGTGTTCTCCGTTGCAGTGTCGAATCCGGTTGTCTCGTCGAACATACGGCGAGTCGTGGATTTTTATTATGGACAATTAAAACCGAAAACTACGCTGCAAATCCAAGTGTGTTATTCTTACACGCGTGAGTGCGTGCTTGATCGAAACTCTCTCCGCACTTTAAAATATGCTAATTAAATATGTTTCAACATGTTTAATAAACACATTTAAGCACATTAATTTAAATCAATGCGTTCAAGTGAATTATCGAATTGACACGTTTCAAAAGCGCGTCATGATTTGCAGCGTACTCTGCGTATTTTGTTACAATTTAATCGATCTCACAATCTCAAATCTTTATTAGGTTAAATCCCCGTTTAATTCCAAGTGAATTTTGCTTCGATAGGATCTCAATTTAAACTCGAATCCAGAAGGTATTCGTGATATTGAGAAAGTTATTATTAAATTTTCCATATTTATCTTCTGAAAAGCGCCGACCGTTGGAAAATTTGACCGAAGTCGACGACTTCACGAAGGCGACGCCAGAGCGCTAGAGACCTCCCTAACGTGATTTATTTGCCATCGTGGGCGTGCGCCTCACGATCATGTTAATGGAACTGGAGGAGACGCTCCAAGAAAAATAACGTCGATAACCG